AAATGATAACAGGCTTGTATCGAATTTGAGTTGGTACTTTTCAAGTTAAGTGAAAGAAGTGTGGTGATGGGCTGACTCTCTATGTTTACTGTGTAACTCATGTTTGTCCCCCTTTTTGTAAGCCCTCCTTGGAGCCTCTTCGCCATTGGTCCTTGCTTGCTTTCCTTGGAACTCCGACCCTCCTCAGAAAAAGGGTGATTTGTTTCTCTATTTCTGCCTCCCTCTCTCTCTTTTTAATATTTGAACATTGTAATTCTTTTTGCTTCTCTGACTTGTGATAATGTGGCATATTTTATGAGTTTTTGTATTGCTATTGATTTATTGAAGATTTTTAGGTTAAAGTGGTTTATTCATAAAATGTGGTCTTGCTATTTCCTCGTAACATTGCCATTACTTACTCTATATATGGTCGCTTTTGCTGAAAGAGCTGGGAATCTTTGCCATTACTTACTCCATATATGGTCGCTTTTGCTGAAAGAGCTGGGAATCTCTCGAGCCTTGCCTAGGAACTGCAGGGAAGTGATTGAGTGGTTCCTCCCTTCCTTCCAAAATTTCAGTCTTAGGGGCATATCTCTTTAGGAAGTTGCTACGCTATGAATCTTTTGAGGTATTTGACTAGCAAGGAAATACATGATTTTTTTTTGGGATAAAGTGAAATATTGGGGTTTTTGGCGGGTACATTGATATAGGGTCTTTGGTAATCCAAGTTTATTGAATTTAGTCAGGAGGTGGGCTCCTTTCTTTCTTTCACGTAGCATTTGTTCTTTGGGAGTTGCTTCTTTAACTTGTATGTATCGGATGGGATTTGAAAAAAAAATAAAAAATAAAAAAATCATTGTCTTTCCCTTTTCTTATTCATCAGTTTCCTCTTGATTGTCAATCCTTTCCTCTTGATTGTCAATCCTTTCCTCTCTTCATCTTTCTTCTCCTTGGTGTTCATGTCGTTGTTCTCCCTTACGTTGTCTTCTCTTACCCATTAATTTTGTCCTTTTTTTTTTCGATTCTCAACAGCATATAGTATATGAATTTCAGAAATCTCTCTTCAATGCTCTTTTGGACCTTGTCCCTATTAATTTTTAGTGTTTCCCTTTCCGCTCGGTGGAAATCGCCAAGAGGTAAATATCTCCACGGATTAGTTTTGTCCTAATCTTGAATGCCTTTCATACTCTTCTTTTGGTGAGTCGCTGCCTTATCTATCTCACAATCCTTTTGCATCTCTTTTCTGTTATTAGGTTGGGTTCATTTTGTTGGCTTTGGGCACCGATTAGGCCGAGTCATGAACATGCCTTAGCTCCTTCCACAACACCTGAGGGTCCATTTAGACATGGTGATTTTTTTTGACTTGCACTCTCTTTTAATTTATCAATTAAGAGATCTTACTAAATTAATTCCCAAATTATGTGTTTTTTTTCCTGGCCGGAATCTTACTATTTAACAACTTAATATTGAAGGGAACATTGCAATAAAGATGGAAATAATAGTCATGGTTTATAAAGTTGGGTTCCTTTTAGTTACTGTTCGAGAAGTAGGTTCATTCCTTTTGTGCTCTTTTTTTTCTTTGCTTTCTAACGTCATTTCTTTTCCTTTTTTTTTTTTCCTTTTCTTCTCCCCCGGCTTTTTTCTCTTTCCTTTTGTTTCACCTCTCTTTGCCTTTTGTTCGTGCTCTCCCTCTATGCATTCAGATGGACAAAGAGCCATCATTTTGGGCTTGTGAGAGAGACCATTATTAGAGAAAGTTGTCATTTTTTATTGGTTCATAGAGGCCAATAACGGAGAACTTCTCAATGTTCGACCTTTGGAGCTTAGATTCACATGTAAGTTTATTTTGTAGCATTATCTAAGTTTCAGATAATAAGGAAAGGAATGTGAAATTGGGAAATTTGATGGAGCAAATTATTAGTGTTGGCTGATTAAGGTTCAAGAGATTGATTTTTTTGAGTTATGATGGTTTCCAAATTTTGTGCTCTGTTTCTTCATTCACAAAACTGAAGGAAATTATGGAAGCTTTAATCTTTAACGTTGTTTCATCCAAAAAAAAAATCTGTAATGTTGTTTTTTGGTTATGAATTTACAAGTTTTTGGTTGGCAAATAGATTGAGGAGGCCAAAAGAAAAATGAAAGTGAATGAGAACAACTTGAGGTTAATTTAGAAACATAAAGTTCAATTATAATTTTGTTTTATCCTTTGAAAGAAAAGATGGCAGTTTCAAATCATAAAGTTCTTATTAATTATGATTCTATGAAATTTAGTTTCGTTAGTTGTGGTGAAAAAGTTGGATTGAAAAAGCAGAGCTCATGTTCTATACAATTGACCAACAGGATGGCTAAACATGTGCCATCAAGCTTGTCACTTTGTAATCTTCTAACTTATGTATGCATTTCCTTTTGAATGAACATTTTTATTGGCTATGGTTTCAATTATAATATATGCCTTTACTTTGTTAATTTGCTTGCACATTTTTCAAACTGATTAAAATAACAAATTCTAAAAAGTTTTTACCTAGAATTAATACTAAACGGAGACGAATTAATTCTGTCTCACTTTGGTCCTCCTTAATTCCGGTTATTTTTTTATATCACCATCTCTTTGGTTGATAAAATTTTTTGTATTATCTTAACGTTGAATGAGATTTTGATTTTGTTTTTAGTCTCATATATATATATATATATCTCTCTCTCTAATTGAAATTGTGTTACTTCGTGTTTGGTCTTTTTTTTTTCCTTCTCCTTCAACTTGGGGTTTAATGCTTGTTCTTCCAATGCATGATGAGGTATGTTTATTCTTCATTCTTTATTTTTTATTTTTTTTTGTTGTTCGATGTTCTTAAGCTTTCTTGGAGATGGGTTTTTACTAAACCCAGGAATTTATTACCGTAGCACCTGAATGAATGGGTTCTGTTCCTTAGGACCACGTACTTGGTCACAGAATTTTCTAATTTAAGTTTCTTTTTATTTATTTCCTTTTCTACGCTTGCTGTAATACTGGTGTCTTATTAAATGGTGGTTGGTTTACTGGGTTATACTTGTATATCAGTGAGCAAATTTGGTTGTGGCATATTCTGTTGTTCTTAGTATCTTACGGAAGCATGTCGACACGAACATCATATTTTAGTCTCATGCCTACCTATGAATAAACAGTATTTATTTAGTTAATATCTTTCTAATATACTATGTAGTGATTGATTTTTCAAGTATCTCACTGCTTTTATCATTCAGGCGTATTTGTTCGAGGAGTACTGGCGTAAAACTTCAGGTGAGCCAATGAATTTCCAATGTGATGCTTCAAAGCATAAGAGTTTTAACTTTTAACACATAAATAGTGGCCTAATATATGAGCTTGGCATCATAAATCTTCCATCGTTTGGTGTTAATATTGAACCATTATGTCTAATTTGTGGAAATGTTTTTGCAGGATACTATTATAAATAATAGGTTTGTTATTTTACTGTTATTGGTGTATAATTGAGTTTGAAAATGATCTGAGGATTGTAGCCCTGTATCACGTGCTTCCATTTCATTTTGATGATTTATGAATGATTAGGCAACAATAATAAGAACTGGTACAAAAGAGATGGTGTTTTTCAGAATTTTTTTTTGAAGAACAGTTTCCTATAAAAAAAAAAAAGTAGTTGTGTAGTTTATGTGATAATTACAACACCTACAAGAAAGCATACATTCTGTTCTGGTAAGATATGACAATAAGAGGATGAAACAAGCAACTTGTAGAAGGCCTTCACTTTAGTATTTACATTGTCTCATTCGTGCCAAGCACGTCATTTTAACCAGTGCAAAGAAAAGGAAGGGAAGAATAAAAAAACTGAAATAGAAAAAGGAGGAAGAATTAAAAAAAAAAAAAAATGACAATGCAATGGAATAGAATAGAAATAGATAAAGAGATATGGAAACGAAAAAAGAAATTGAAAAACTGGGTAACTTTAGTTATCATGTTTTCATGGAACAAATGGGTAAAGTTCAAATTTATTTATGGATCTAATAATTGTATTATATTTCTTCTGCTAGTGATGTGCACTAAGGTAATTGATTCCATACTACTTTAGAAGGATATGGTCCTTCTCTCATCAAAAGTCCATCTCAGTTATATTTTCTTTTATATTCAGCTTCTAGTTGTATTTTTGAGACTGATATTGTAGTAAGAACTTTTAGGATTTTGGAAAGACACAAATGTTAGTCTAGTGTTGGTTGTCAGTATATAAGCTTTTTAATGTTGCTGAGATCTAGTTGATAGGCTTCCAATTGCATTTCTTTTTTTGGTTTCCTTGAGCATACAAGATATCATAAGCAAATGCTCGTTTATTTTGGTTATCATTTGCCTTTATTAATCAGGTTCTGATCACGTGCTTTGTAGCAATTATTAATGTATCTTAGATAAAGAATGGTGCTTTGATGGTGTGCATAATCGATAAAAAAAATGTGATCTTGCACCTGCAATTTGGTTTTTAGTTTTGCAGCCTTTATTTTTATCTATTCTAGAGGAATTACTAGTCTTTTCTCAAGAAGTCGGCAAATCATGGGAACCAACAGAACATCTAAAGGATGTGTGTTTGTGTGTTTGTGTGTGAATGTTCTCTACGTGGTAGCTACTAATGTGATTTGCTTCTTACAACTTACAAGTGAGGCATGTGGATCGTCATAGAATCTTGCATGATTGAGTACGGAATCTAAAGGGTGTGTGTGTGAACTCTCTCTTGGTGGAGGCTACTAATGTGATTTGCTTCTTACGAGTCAGGTATGTGGATCATCACAGAATCTTGCACTATGGAGATGATGGAGTGCACAACAATGGGATCAGCTGCATACCCATTCATGAACTCTGTAGAAGAATGGAGACAACTTGAGTCTTTTGTAACTGCTTGAAATTTTTCAGTCACGTGTTTTCTTGCTTGATTTTTGTTGAATTATGACACGGTAGTAAAATTTCAGGGCAGGGTGCTATTATAGTATATTAGTAATTATTTTTTTTTCCTATTATTCTTCTATTACTTGTTTAGGAGTTTATCTCTGTTTGGAGCAGCGTAGGAGAGTGGAGAAATGAGCCTACACATTTTACATAGGTGGGCAAGGCAAACCCTTTTCTCTAATAAACTTAACTGTTATTCGTGTTTAGTGTATGTACTGGTTTCATTTGTCTTTTATAATGTATATTTATCATTTACTTCTTGCTATTTAAATCTTACTAAGTTATTTATTTACTTTTAGTTTGTGTTTATACTTTCTAAGATGAGGAGTTACCAAGAGGCAAACATCGTATTCATTTTCAGACGATGGCAAGAAGGGGGAATAAAAAAAATGACCTCTAATTTCTACTTTGTTTTAAAAATTTATTATTAATATTATTGTCAATTAAAAACTATTTATTCTTTTCAAGCGCGTTTGAGGATTTGTAGTTTACTGTTTAAAATGCCCATTGGATTCATTGTTTCTTTACTGGCTTCATTCAATATCCCTTGTTAGTATTCATAGTCACTGAATTTGTTATCAATTTTGTGAACTGATTGGAACGTGTTCCCTTACCGTACAGTTGATGGATAAAATTTGTTAAACGCATTTGACGCTACACAAGTAAATTATTGAAAACCATTTTAACTGTACTGATTTTATTGTCAATTAAAATCTGATGAGCGTGGAGGTTGTATTCTTCTATTTTTTTTTTTTTTTTTTTTTTTTTACTTAGAAGACTACTTTTTTTTTTTTGGGGTTCCGATTATGTATCGGTTTGATTTTTTTTGTAAATTAAGAAATAGTAGTCTTATTCATATTGCCATTTGTGTTTGTCCACTTCACTGAACCTATTTGTCTATTAATGTTTGACTAGGTTATAGTCCTCTATTTTTCTATGCAAGTTAATTACTGAATTGTTTTTTCTGTTTTTTTTTTTTCGTTATAGTGTACGTTAGGTTGTAGTCCTCTTTTTTTCTATGCTAGTTAATTACTCAATTGTTATTTTTGTTAGTGTATGTAATTGATTTCATTTGTCCTTTAAAATTTCTATTTATTGTTTATTTCTTGACATTTAGATCTTACTAAGTTCTTTTTATTTTTTGTTTGTGTTTATACTTTCCAAAATGAGGGGTTACGAGAAGAGGCAACATTCATTATCAGAAAATGACAAGAGAAGGTAATAAATACTAAAAAAAATGACCGCTAATTTCTTCTTTGTTTTAGATTTGTTGGTGAATTCATTATTGTCACTTGAAAACTATTTATTTGCTTGAAATGCTTTGGGGATTAGTATTTCATAGTCACTGGATCAGTTTGCAAATTTTGTCGATTCAGTGGAAGATGTTCTTCATACATACTTTTCATAGTCCCTAGATCAGTTTGTAAATTTTATTTTTTATTGCTCTGTTTTGGTTCTAATATTTCGACTCTTACTAATTTTTTCTTATTTCTAGATTCTCAAATATTAGTTGTGCAAATGAGTCGAGGTTACCTTCTCCAAAATGTGAGGCTTTTTTTTCCTTCTTGGTAGTTGCTGCTAGAATTTGTGCTGTTCTTTATTTCTCTATTGTTCATGTATGCACCATATTTTATCCTCTCTACCCTAATATTATTATATTGTACTTGGTTTTTCAATTATTGCATTTGTATAAGATATCGTTCCTTCGGAAGAATGTGGATTCCAGAATTTTTTTAAGATCTGAGTATAAATTATTGGAATGATCCCACCAAAATCATAATTGTGTTTTGAAGTGAGGTTCGTCTTGCATTCTCTACTTCTTCCCCCTTGCCCTCTGGTTCTAAAAATTGTTTTGGATGAATGATGGTGGAGGTATTGTCTCTGCGGCTGCAAAGCCTGTGAGAAGAGGGAGATCTCAGAGGAAACGGTAAAAGCTTTATGAGCAAATCTGAATTTTTCCTCTCCATTTTTATTAGCCCAATTGCCGCTCGCAAGGCCTGTGCCAAAAAGCTTCAATGTCACTGTCGTCATCAGGGCTGGGGAATCAGAGGAATTTCAAGGTTTTCAAAGGTGATGATGAGTAAGAAGACAACCCATGTTCCTTAATCCTATTTCTTATCTAAAGAGAACACCATTTCAGAAGCACTGTCCTTTTTTATTCTTTTTTTGCCTTTTCTCTCTGTTTTTTGGATTTCGAGACTTCATTGTGCAGTTTTTGCCATCTTTACACTTATCATATTTCTCTCTAGATCTACGAGCTATTTGCGTGTGTGGAAAGGGAGGGACCTCGATTCGAAACAAGTTTCAGGTGGTTTTTCATTCATAACTATTGTTTCTTTCTTAATTTTTATGATTAGAGATAAAATGAGGAAAATTCGAAGAACAAAGTAGGTTTGCTGAAGTTTGATTTGAATGCTTGTTGCGCAGGTTATTTTCTATGTGAAACATTGATCTCATTCTTTGTTGAAGTGAAAAGGAGTATGTTGGGAGGACAATAAGAGAGGAATCTTCACCAGGTGAGAAATTCTATTTTGAAGCATGGCTTTCTTCACAAACAATATCTTTTATTTTCTTGGATTGCACAAGCAAGTCTGGTTCTTTTTGTTTGATTTTTAATATATTAATGTTGATGAGCATGTTTTGGTTTGCGAAAGAATACGTGTTTGAGCTTTCTTCCAGTGGAATATAAAATTATGAATTCGCTAGAGATTTAAATTTTTCATGGTCTCTGATGGTTCAATCGATAAATGAAATGCTGGTCAAAATGGAAGTGTGTGTGTGTGTGTGTGTCTCTCTCTCTCTCTCTCTCTCTCTCTATATATATATATATATATTGTGTGTGTGTGTCATGTATGACGGGATCTTTTGCTTGTTCCGCAGAATTGAACCACGAAATTGTGGTAGCATGCCAATTTGAGAAAGTGTATAGTTACCAACGTACAACCGTTCTATCTTTCTCTGCTTTGGTGCTCTGCTTCTGGTTCTATGAGAACAAGAGTCTGAAATATATTTGTACTTTTCATCTTCCATTTTCTGTTTGCTTTCGGAATATCTGAATGTGTAAGCGGCAAATATGAGATTTGGTAGATTCTATAGCTCTGTAAATTCTCTCATCAGTATTTTGTTCCAAGAAAACATTTTGTTATTGTTATTTAATTTCCTTGGCTTTTCAACTGGATTGGAAAAGAGTGTATAGCCAACCATATATGAATTATGATGGCTTACTAGATGGTACTTATCCGTTCATTCTTGTGCTTTTGCTTGGCAGGTTAGTTGGGCTCTAATACTAGAGTATACAAGAGTATACAATTGGTGGTGTTGCTGTAGCCCGTGACAACTCCAAATCTGGTATAGTTCAGCTTTGTATAATTGGAATTTGGTTTGCTTCTCTTTTTTCTTCTCCCCTGTTTGTTTTCAGGATCTGTAATGTATGTCTTTATCCTTTCTAGTAAAATTTCTTTTTCTTGTTCAAATACAAAATCAAGCCTTTTTTTTTGGAGGTGAGGAGAAAATACCTGCTTTCTTTGCTCGTCATACGGTTGCTGGACTTAATATTGTGGTTGATCCATGTGCGGTACTATTAGTTGAAATATTCACTGTTCTCTTGTGCATTGAGATCATAGAGGTACTTTTTTCTTTAACGTAGGTATTTCTAGCCTAAAAGTCTTAAAAGAGTCTCTTGTGATGGTTTAAACTGTATTTATACTTATGGTCGGTTCATATGTTTTCTTTGTATACCTCGTATTTTTTTAAAACTCTTCATGATGTTTCTTTGTTAATCTCGTCGGTGAAGAACTCAGCGTTTGAAAATTGCAATGTGGTTAAGTTACTTCCTTGTCTTTCTGAGATAAATGCTAATTGCAATGTGATTAAGTTACTTCCTTGTCTTTCCGAGATCTGTTTTTTCTTTCCATCTTTTGTTTTGGTTTGTGATTCATAGTATTTTTTCTAAAATTGTGCACTTCTGTTAGTTTAAACATTTGCCATTGTTTTTTAATTTTGTACTTGATCTGAATCCAAATTATTGGTTTTTATGAAATCTATTATATGTAACTTTGATTGCTTGCTATTTCTTCCATGTCTGTTTATATTATTCTGATCAATGTGATTTCACTTTTACTCTTTCTGATTGCTATCTAGCTATGTGACTTCTCATAGTTTTAATTCTTTTCTAATTGATCATTCCAACCCTTTAATATTTAGTTACTATATCTTCATAAGCAATGTTGTTATTAAATTGATATTATATCTACTTTAATATGTTTTTCTTATTCATATTCAATGCTTGTGCTCATAGTTTCTTTTTTTCTTTTTTTATGTAAATATATTAAATTCAACCACACCATTCTTTTTTTTAATTATTACTTCATACACCTTTATATTAATCTTTACCTTTCTCATGTAGTTTTGTTTTATTCCTAATTCTAAATTCATAACATATTTTGTCTTTTCTTTGGTTCTTCTTTTACTCTCAATAATAATCTCATTCGATACGAGTTAAGCAGTTCCATTTCAATAGCCTTCTCTATGTAGAAGTTTCAATAGTCATTGACATAGCTTTTGGGGTAAGCAACGAAGGAAAGTGAGGAAAAAGGAAAGGATGAGAATTTTTCTCTATCTATTTCTTATTTTTCTTTTATGTTCCTGGCATCGTCTACATACCACTGTTCTTTATACTGTTCATCAATGAATTTCTCTTGTTCTTATTTTTAAAATTTGGTGGTTAATTGTGAAATTGTTTCTGAAGTTCAACCTCAAACTTTATTAAGAGCATGATGATGATTCTGATTGATTTGGAATTGCTGGAATCGTAACCTTTTATATTTGTTTTTGGTTCCATTGAAATTTGCTTCTTAAGTTTGCTGCTTTATAGTGTTGGCGTCGATTTTCTTTATTTTATTTACTGCTTTATTCTTAAGTTTGCTGCTTTATTTGTAACATTTCCAAATTTACTGTTTTTCAAATTGATTCTTTAAGTAGGTTTTGTCATTCCAATTTATTTTGTTTGTAAAAATTGTCATCCTTCCAATTCATTTTCCATGTGATGTCTGCATTTTTGAACTTACTAACCGCTTAACTATTGTTGCTTTCTTTCTAACCATCTAACAAACTTCATGTTGTTTGATTATGTTATTGTTGTTGTTGTTTGATTATGTCATTGTTGTTGTTGTGGTTTTTTTTTTTTTTTTTTTTGGCGCCTGATTACTGTCATTTTGTGTTTTTTAAACGAATTGGAGCAAGGTGCAAAATTGAGCAATTGAGTATTGAGGCGTTTTGTCTATGTGAAGTAAGGTATACCTCTGAAAGCGTTGAGGGGTAAGCTTCAAAATAAACTATAAAATAATTCAAAAATATGCAAAATCAAGCAATTTAGAGTAAAAGTCATAAGTCATACTTAACATCATAAAAAATTATAAACACAACAAAAATTATTAAATCAAATTAATTATTCTTGATTTTTCTTTTCTTCTTATGTTTAGCAATCTAGGGGGTTTGTTTTAAATCGCACCCTTGCCTCTTGGTCATAGCAACGTCATTCTTCTAGAACTCTTTACATTTGTTTTTTTTATTGTCCTCAATTTGGCTGATATGAGTTTGGGCTTTGACCTTTATATTAATTTCAGCTCAAAAACAACTAAGCTACATATTGTCGTTTTCATCACTGTTGGTTTTACTATGGTATTGTTGTTTTTTATTTTTTTCTATTTTTTTAATTTTTTGTTTTAATTTTTTATTTTTGTTGTTGTTTGTGTGATGCATTGTCATTTGTAAATTTTTGGTATTTTGGGGTTCCAATACCCATTAGATTATTGTTTGCTTATTAGCTTCACATAATTTAGTATCCCTTTACTAGTATTCATAGTCACTGAATTAGCCATCAAATTTTATCTACTGATTGGAGCCACATGTTTTTTGCTGTACATTTTTTTGGTTGTAGATTCTTACGCTTTTCATTGTACTACATGTAAACTGTTAATCTAGTTGCAAAATTTTGATAAATCGAATTTCATGACTTTGTTCTTTTTTTTTTTTTTGTTACTTCTTATTATAGATGCATTGTCTTATGATTTTGTTTCTTTTTTTACACCCTACACAAGTAAATCAATGAAAACTACTTTAGTTGTACAAAGTTTATTTGTCAATTAAAATATGATTAGCATGGAGGTGATATTCCTCTATTTTCTTTGCTACTTACTTACACGGTCCTTTATTTTTATTTAGTGTATGTACTAATTTCATTGGCCTGTAAATTAATAAACAGCATTTTTTATTCATATTGCCATTTACATTTGACCATTTTACTGAACTTATTTGTCAACGGAAATCTGACTAGCATGGTGGTTATAGTCCCCCATTTTTCTGTGTTAGTTATTCACACAACAGTTACTTTATTTAGTGTGTGTACTAACTTAACTTGTCTGTTCTAATATTTACTATTGTTTATTTCTTAATATTTAAATCTTTATTTATTTATTTATTTTTGTTATAAATCTAAGATTTTATATGGATGTCCATTAACAGGATTTTACGGTATCTTCATGGGATTAAAGTCACAATTTATGGGATTGTAATATGCAATTAATTGAGATGATGATTGATTGAAATTTGGTAATTATAATTATTCTGTAGATCTTTCTATTATTGTTTTGTAGAAGAGCCTGTAAATAGAGCCTCAGAGAAGCATTGTAATGATTGGAGTGAATAAAAATATTCACTTCTTTCTTCTCTCTATTCTCTTGTTCTTATTCTTTCACTCCGTTGCTTTCTTTTATTTTATAACACGTTATCAACATGAGTTTGTTCTACAAAGCCATTGAACAAATGATTTTTACACATTCCCTGAAGTGAACGTGTCAAAATAATTTCAGACATTTCCTGAAGTGAATGTATCTATATTATCTTATATAATTTCACATCACCTGAAGTAAATGTGTTATTGTTTTACACACTCCTTGAAGTGAATGTTTTTATTATCGATCAAATATTTTACATTCCCTGAAGGGAATGTATTATTAACGATTATTAGAAAGGATAATTTTGAGTATTTATAATTTACTGTTTTTTTTTTTTTTTTTTTTTTTTTTTTTTTTTTTTTTTTTTAAAATTATAAGGCTAAAAATACTATTGTGAAATTTGAAAAAGTCATAGGTACTCATATTCCCCTGAAGAGAATAATACAAATTATGAACTTGTTATTTACAACATAACGAATTCCCAGAAGTAAATTGATTTATGTGATCTTTAATAGGCATATTTTGTTTTATTATCCTTTATTGTTATTTTATTATTTGTTGAATTTCTTTTAATTATCATTATTGTTCTTATGTACGAGTGTCTACTATGTCGAATTTGACAAAGTTTGCTGCGCTCTATATAACGGGCAAGAACTATTTATCATGGGTGATTGATGCTGAAATTCATTTGGATGCTAAAGGACTTGGGGACACGATTACTAAAGAAAAACGAGCATCCAGCCAAGATAAGGCTAAGGCTATAA